GTCACATTAGTTTGACCGCGCAGTGCCCCAAATTTGCAGTAAGAGGACCGACCAAGCCTCTTCTTCCATCTCCCTGTTACAAAAATCAATGCTGTGTACACGTCCACTGATAGGACACGCGGAAGGTATTAAACTGATAAAAATAGTACTAAACACACCACTCCTATCTGGTGTCACATTAGCTTGACCGCGCAGTGCCCCAAATTTAATGTGATCTGTGAGTAAGGCAAACGGTTGTCCATACAAGTAGGTTGCAGCTTTTTGAGGGCCCACACCACCGCCATGCACTCCTTTTCAATGGCAGTGAATATACTTCGCTGTGCAAAAGTTTACCGCTTAGATAAAAATCAATGCCGTGTACACGTCCACTGATAGGAGACGCGGAAGGTATTAAACTGATCAGAACAATACTAAACACACCACTCCTTTTTTTTGGTGAGGCTTTACAGGACAGAGTGCTTCTCCACGGGACATGTTAACTCACGGGCAGCTGGTTCATCAAGGAACCAGAGCAGCTTTCCATGTACAGGTAAGACACATGCAGCCGGTAAGGGTTCAGGCTCTTCTTCCTGGAGGATACGCTGCAAGCCTGTTGAACGAGGTGACCTTGCTCGGGTCCCAGGTGTACGGTTCCTAAAATGGCTGCCATATACACGTCCACTGATAGGAGACGCGGAAGGTATTAAACTGATCAGAAAAATACCAAACACACCACTCCTATCTGGTGGCACATTAGCTTGACCGCGCAGTGCCCCAAATTTGAATTAAGAGGACCGACCAAGCATCTTCTTCCATCTCCCTGTTACAGAAATCACTGCCATATCCATACAAATTGTACAGAATGTCCAGGATAGTTTTCCAGGGACAAATGTTGTCGCCTGTTGAACGAGGTGACCTTGCTCCGGTCCCAGGTGTGCGGTTCCTAAAATGGCTGCCATATACACGTCCACTGATAGGAGACGCTGAAGGTATTAAACTGATCAGAACAATACTAAACACACCACAAATAAGGTTTCTCTCCTGTATGGCTCCTCAAATGATGCTTAAGATTAGAAGCGGCTGAAAAGCATTTCTCACACTCCGAACAAAAATATATATTTTTAACATTCTCTCCACTTTGAACGAAATGACGTTTGGGAAGAGATTAACATAATTAAACACAGGCAGTAAAATACAGTTTTTAGCCATACACTGTAACTTTAAAACTACACATCCCATCTTCATAATTACATATTTGGAATCAGCACACTTAAAACATAAACATAACCAAAAATCAGCCAAATCCACCCAGGGGTTAAAAAGTTAGCTGGAGGTCCCTTTATGACCGACCGCAAGCACATTTTCCTGCCCAAAACAGTTCCATAGATTTGGGTTGTGAGGTCGGTCTATTTCAGGCTGAAAAAAC